TGTTATGCCGTCTTTCGCCTTTCCCCGTCCTGTTCAGACGAACGACGATAGCGCACGGCGACCAGGCATGGCATACAGCATGGCGGGATCGGCGCCAGCTGTTCGACCGAACGATGGCGCGCCCAGCGATGCCCGCCCGTTCCTGTTCACTTCGCTCGCTACTCGACATCGTTCTTGTGCAGCGGTATCCTCGGCGATATCGAATACGTTGTTGTTGTTGTAGTAGTAGTAGTATGGTGTTAATATTAAGAAAATAATATTATTATTAGTATAAGAATGAGAACGTATTGCCCGTCGTCAGTACTATGAATTGCAAACATATTAGTTATTATTACCACTATCGTTGTTGTTATCTGTTATTCCATCGAAGCGACACTATTAATTGCACACCACTGTTTTAACGTTTTCTTTCACTATTATTCATTTGGCACTCGTACAAAAACTATTGTTTTATTTTTACAGTAGTCAGTAATCAATCGAAGACCAATGAACTAACCCAGTCGCGAAAATTACCCATATCTGACCTTCATGCAAGTCGTTTTCATATATCCAGTAAGCATTTTATTTTAAATCTAGTTCTTTAATAACAAATAATATATATTTGATTTGTTCAAATTATGTGATTCTTAACATATCACACTTTGTTTTAAAAGAAAATCATTTTCTATATATCACAACTGACAACTGTGGCAGCGTGAAATATAATTTAAGTTTAACCTATATTGCTTAAAGTGAAAAGACAATAATACAAACTTGTCTTGATTTGTTATTGTGGCCTATTCACCAGGTCATCAGTGACAGATGTAAAGACCTTATGAAAACTGGTCGGCAATCTGGAGTATTCTCTTTGAATGAAATATAATCAGTATTGTTAGTTTTTATGCATTGTACTCTCCTTCCATATTTTTCGCTAGAATATTAATTTACAATTATTCTATATATTTTTAGTATTTTAAACTAATTGTACTAAAAATTTCTTAACAGTTAATATTAAACATTATTGAATATTTTAAGACAACTAATTTATATTTAAACTAATATTAAATAAAATAGGTAGGTACCTTAATTTAATTTAAAAGAAACTAATTTTATAACTTTGTTTTAAAGAGCATTTTTCTGTAAGAAATTTATTTTAAATAATTAGGCTTTAATGAAGGTATTCTAAAAGTTGCATAATTTAAAACTATAATCCTAAATTTGTCAGTTTCCTTTTAAATCATTAATGACCTCTGATATATTTCAACTGAAGCAATGGTTTATTATATGATTGTATTATTAGGCACATCTAAAAGTTTCCTAGAAATTAAAAATAAATGAATGTTTTTGTGTATTATTTTAACTAATATATAAAATTATAATTTTATAAATCTTACAAAATTCAAGTTTCTATATAAATCCCATAGTTCCTCCTATTCCTACTCAAAGGAATTCTAATCCACTTTATTCCATTGATTCTTCTCAAATCAACACTTACAAACATAAATAATATTCATTCATAATAATCATAAAGATAAGCAACTATATAAAACCTTATCAATTATATTCACAAATTATGGGTAACCCACTGGGAATAAACTGGTGCAAGATAGCGGAGACTTTAAAACATTTTATTTAGGAATGTTTTATTATGACTTCCTCTCTGGTTATAGTTCAGATTAATTCACCATTCCATACTCATACTTATATCTATTGTATAGATCAGTGATATTATAATATCTATCGAAGGTAATTTCTACATATGTCAATTGAATGTGTATATTTTGTATAACTTGTTTAATGTTAATTTTGAATGTTTATAATTTGTATTCATAATACTTAATAATAATATAAATATTTAACCATTAAATTTAAAGAGGAAGGATTGTATTTAGTTCATATAGTAATAATTAATATTAATTTTATAGTTTGCATTTAATAACTGACACTGCTATCTTGTATTTAATTTTACTTACCTATGGTAAATTTAAATTAAGTAATAACTAGGAATATATAATGTTTTAATAAAAACTTTTTAATATAGCTACAAATTACATTTTTGATGTTTAAATGAATTTATTACAAGTTCATATTTTGTTAATAACTATTGTATACTGTCTTATTTTCATTTTTGTGTACTACTACAATCATATCTAGGTCATTAAGGTCAATGTGACTAGCTCTACTAATATACTTAATAACTGAACATTGACAATGACTTTAATCTAAGCTAAATATTGAAAGTGACTTTATATGTCTGCTTATTGGTTAATACTTTGATATTGTGTCACTATATCAAAGTAGCAATACTACTAATTATAATTATTACTGATCAAATATTTATGAGACATATTCTTTCCTCATTCACACCTTTTTATAAAGTATTTATATTATGAATATTAGAATATTAAAATGTAAGCATTATAGTTTTATTATTATTCAATAGTTTCAATGTTTGCATACATATACTTGTATTTACTAGTATTAATAAGTGCTTGACGGTTTTAACTTAAACTAGTACAAACAACTTATTATGAACTCATAAAATCATTGAATTTATTTTAAATTATTACATTTATTGTTCATTGAAATATTCATTTAAATTATATTATTAGTTAAGTAAAACTTTTACAATTAAAAATTATTAATATTTGTATTTAGAACACCTATATGTAGGAGTAATAAAAATTATTGTCGGCATTTACATGCTTTTATATTTTGTAATGGCTTTTAAATATAAGTATTAATAGTATATTTTAAAAATATATCAACGGTAATCTAATCACTTTAATAGTAGGTATTGTAACTTATATTTATGTACACTCTGTATTCCTGTATATTATACATGAAATATCAATATAATTTCTGAGTTATTATCATAAGTATTTTTATTTATTTTTATTATCATGAACTGAAGGTTAATAAACTTAGGTTTGTAATAAGTTTAACTACGTCAAAAACAAATCTTTTGAAACAGCAATACGTAACTGAAATCCAGTACAACAGACCTGTTCGATATACGATTTCTTTGTGCGACAGTGCTGCGTGTGTTGTGCGCGCGCCACGAACTTTGTTCCTCGGCGCCTAGCGACCGCATTGCAACTGTCCCGCGGCGGCACACACGCTCGGCTAGCGCGCTGACACGGCACATTGTGTTGAACCTCTTTCGGAAGACGTAGACATGAGCATTGCGATCTTCGTGGCGTTGCGGTCGTCGTCCGGACTGAACGTCGTCGTGTCTGCGACTTGTATGTGGGCCAGCGCACTCGGGTACGTACCTCTCTGTACGCACCGTTGATCGTTATTTAATGGTTTTTCTTTTCCCGTTCTCAGTTTCTCACTCGCTCGCCGCTACTCGACATCGTTCTTTGTGCTTTCAGCGGTATCCTCGGCGATATCGAATATACGTTGTTGTTGTTGTAGTAGTAGTAGTAGTCGTGGTGTTTAATAGTCTATTAATGAAAATAATATTATTATTTATGGAATAAGAATGAGAACGTATTGCCCGTCGTCAGTACTATGAATTGCAACTATTATTAGTTATTATTACCACTATCGTTGTTGTTAATTGTTATTCCATTCGGGAAGGACACTATTAGTCATGTACACCACAGTTTTAACGTTTTTCTTTCTCATTACTATTCATTTGGCACTGTACAGCAAACTATTGTTTTATTTTTTTTTTTACAGTAGTCAGTAATCAATCGAAGACCAATGAACTAACGTCCCAGTCATGCAAGAAAAATTACCCATATCTGACCCTTCAGATGTGCAAGTCGTTTCGCAGTATCCAGTAAGCATTTTATTTTAAATCTAGTTCTTTTAATAACAAATAATATATATTTGATTTGTTCAAATTATGTGATTCTTAACATATCCACACTTTGTTTTAAAAGAAAATTTTCATTTTCTATATATCACAACTGACAACTGTGGCAGCGTTGAAATATAATTTAAGTTTTAACCTATATTGCTTAAAGTGAAAAGACAATAATACAAACTTGTTCGATTTGTTATTGTGGCCTATTCACCAGGTCATCAGTGACAGATGTAAAGTACCTTATGAAAACTGGTCGGGCAATCTGGGTATTCTCTTTTGGAATGAAATATAATCAGTATTGTTAGTTTTTATGTGCATTGTACTCTCCCTTCCATATTTTTCAAGCTAAGAATATTAATTTACAATTATTCTATATATTTTTTTTAGTATTTTAAACAAAATAATTTGTACTAAAAAAAATTTCTTAACAGTTAATATTAAACATTATTGAATATTTTAAGTACAACTAATTTATTTAAACTTAATATTAAATAAAAATAGGTAGGTACCTTAATTTAATTTAAAAGAAACTAATTTTTATAACTTTGTTTTAAAGAGCATTTTTTTTCTGTAAGAAATTTTATTTCTTAAATAATTAGGGCTTTAATGAAGGTATTCTAAAAGTTGCATAATTTAAAACTATAATTCAAATTTGTCAGTTTCCTTTTTATAATCATTAAGTGACCTCTGCGATATATTTCAACTGAAGCAATGGTTTATTATATGATTGTATTATTAGGTACACTTCTAAAAGTTTCCTAGAAATTAAAAATTACAAAATGAATGTTTGTTGTGTATTATTTTAACTAATATATAATTAAATTATATATTTTATAAATTCAATCTTAAACCTAAAATTTCAAGTTTATATAAATCCACATAGTCTCCATATCCTATCTCCTACTTCAAAGGAATTTAAATTACTCTTATCTCCATTGATTCCTCTTCTCATAACCAACACTTACAAACAAAATATTCATTCATAATAATCATAAAGATAAAGTAACTATATAAAACCTTATCAATTATATTCACAAATTATGGGTAACCCACCTGGGAATAAACTGGTGCAAGATAAAGGACTTAAAACATTTTTTATTTAGGAATGTTTTATTGAGTGACTTCCCTTCTCTGGTTCAGATTAATTCAACATTCCATACCTCATACTTATATCTATTGTATAGATTCTAATAGATATTATAATATCTATCGAGTTAAAAAATTTCTACATATGTCAATTGAATGTGTATATTTTGTATAACTTGTTTAATGTTAATTTTGAATGTTTATAATTTGTATTCATAATACTTAATAATAATATAAATATTTAATCCATTAAATTTTAAAGAGGAATATTTGTATTTAATTCATATAGTAATACCTAATATTAATTTTATATTTTACATTTAATAACTGACACGTTATCTTGTATTTTAATTTTAATTTACCTATGGTAAATTTAAATTAAGTAATATAACTAGGAATATATAACAGTTTTAATAAAAAAAAAACTTTTTAATATAGCTTACAAATTACATTTTTTGATAACAAATAAATTTCATTACATAAGTTCATATTTTGTTAATAACTATTGCATACTGTCTTATTTTTCATTTTTTGTGTACCTAATACAATCATATCTAGGTCATATTAAGGTCATCGTATCCTTAGCTCTACTAATAATTAATAACTGAACATTGACAATGACTTTAATCTAAGTTAAATATTAAAGTGACTTTATGTCTGCTTATTGGTTAATACTTTTTTTGATATTGTGCAGTCACTATATCAAAGTAGCAATACTACTACCTATAATTATTACTTGATCAAATATTTATGACATAATTTTCTCATTCGCCACCTTTTTTTTATAAAGTATTTATAATATGAATATTAGAATATTAAAATGTAAGCATATAGTTTTTTTATTATTATTCAATAGTTTCTCAATGTTTGCATATATACTTGTATTTACTAGTATTAAATAAGTGCTTGAATGGTTTTAACTTAAACTAGTACAAACAATCGTATTATGAACTCCATAAAATCATTGAATTTATTTTAAATTATTACATTTATTGTTCATTGAAATATTTCTCCATTTAAATTATATTATTAGTTAAGTAAAATTTTTACAATTAAAAATTATTAATATTTGTATTTAGAACACCTATATGTAGGAGTAATAAAAAATTATTATGTCGGTATTTTACATAGTTTTTATATTTTGTAATGGTTTTTAAATATAAGTTAATAGTATATTTTAAAAATATATCAATTTGCAATCAATCACTTTAATAGTAGGTATTGTAACTTATATTTATGTACACTCTGTATTCCTGTATATTATACATGAAGACAATATATAATTTCTTGAGTTATTTATCATAAGTATTTTTTTATTTATTTTTTTTATTATCAAGAACTGAAGGTTAATAAACTTAGGTTTGTAATAAGTTTTAACTGCATGTCAAAAAAAAAAAACAAATCTTTGAAACCAACCTTATCATTCTTGATTTATTACCTATACTTTTAAATTATTTATTTGTGCTCAGTAACCTCTATGACCTAAAAGAAAATTGATTGTACATGATAACAACTCAATTTTAAATATAAATTAATTTTTTAGCCATTAAAATTATTCCTATTTAATTTACATAATAATATTTTTATCCATATTTACAAACAAATTTTCTTTGGGAATTATATATTTAAAATTATAATTTCTGTTAAAATAACTTTAAAAAAATATTTATTTAGTAAAAGTCATATTTCTAATTTCTATGATAAATAAAGACCAAAATAATAAAGGATAGAAAAAATATGAATAACAAAAACTCATCTATAGTATAAAAATTATTACTTACATATTTTATGTAATCCATAGTTATATACATCTACCAGAATGAATGCTATTATTTACTACAAAAATTAAATATATTTAAATTTCGTTGATAAAAACTTGTTTTCTTTTTCATAATACTTGATTATATATTATCTAATAGTAAAATTATTAGGTGGTTCATTTTAAGCAAATGTTCATCTTATTTTTCACAAATCACATTTTCTAACTTTTTAGATACTTATTTATTCTGAAAAAAGACATTTGAATGAAAATTTGATGTATAAAAATGTAGTGTTAAACTATCTTGATCTCTTTCTATGATTAATAAAATGTATGTGGGAAGTAATAAACTATGTGGTAGTATTACTCTCTCAGCCATTTCCTCTTATCTAAACAAGAAATAATTTTAAAAACATGTTTAACTCTGTATTGATTTAATATTTTGTATTACAATATTCTTTCTTTGTATATTATACTGCTAATTTAAAAAGTAAAGTTATTTTAAAAATAAATTATATAAAATTATTTCTTTCTAAAATAGAAAAAAAATATTGTAAAATATAGGTATGTTAATAATATATATTTAAATAAACCAATAATTTTAATTTTTTTTCATTGAGTTAGTTTGCATTAATATTAGTATATTAATTATGTACTTTTATACCTAATCTCATATAATCTATTACTTAACTCAAAAAAAAAAAAAAAAGAACCTTTTAAATTTACATAAATAAAGTAACAATTAAAATTTTTATTAAATAATAATAATAATAATAAAATAAACTGATCATTTTTAATTATAAATTTTATTATAACATATATTTTATATACATATAACATTAACTGTATATTATTATTAATTTAAACCAGCGATTTCCAACTTATGGCTCGCAACGGTCTTAGAAAAAAATGACTCATTGCCAAGTTTTTAGGTCAAAATAGTATATTTTATTCATTTCTATGATTGGCGATTTGCTCAAACTAAAAAGGAAAAAGATGTCTTGATGTGTACTGAAAAAGTTTGGACGTAATACTTTAGATCTTGCCTTTAGGTTTTAATCTTTACATCATTTTTCTATATAAAACTATTAAAACAACCTTTTTGTCACATTTTACTAATAACTGTCTATATTTTATTACTAAATATGTAGATAAACTTGTAATATTATTATTTACTATTGTTTTTATATAAATATATATATATGTTTAATGTACATTTTCTGTTTTTGATTCTCTCATTGAAATTTTTACCATTTTTATCTTATTTAATTTCTACATTTATGTGATAACTCAATAAATATCTAGTTATTATATACAACACATTTATTAATTAATAAGTGTTTATTGATAACTGATTATCTTTATGATATATACTTATTATGATTTATTTATTAGCTACATAATGTAGCCTACATTATAACATTTTATAATTGACGCATATTTTCTTTCTTTGCCTATTTATTAATCATATGTTATATGATATTAGTTATGTGCAATATTATATTTTTGTTTATACTTATCCTAAATAATTTATTATTTTTCACACTAAAGTTTTTTTTTATCGTCAATTCGATTTTCATTAGAATATTATTTTGTATAAACTGTATAGATAACTTAGAGCTGCATTTAGTGTTAAAAAATAATAACCCACAAGTTAGTGTTTCAATTATTTATCAGGTTAATGATTTATTATTCTATAATATGTTAAGTCATTAATCAGTATTTTTTTTAAATATTGTTTATAATTCTACATTTTTGTCTTGAAAGCTTGCATAATCCATCATAAAAATTTTAATGTGTACAAACCAATAATTGCATAAGTAATGACTTCATTTTTATTATGAATAAAATATAATAATTTGTGGTGTAATATTTATTATTTTTTTTTAATTTTTATTACTATAATATACTATTAATAAGTCTATACATCATTTAAAATTATAATATTATTTCACAAAGTATAAAGTTTTCCATGGGGTTTTCCACTATTATGGTAATAAATATGATTAATATATTAAAGATATTTTTGAATTGTTTTTCAAGATATTATATTACTTAATGAATGTATTTATTTATACATACTTCTTTTTTAATGTGGGTTTAAATTGCTTAAAAACGTCTATTTCTATTTAAAATGTGGTATATTATGTCTTTTATAATAATCAAGTTCAGATTCTCAGTGAAGTGGTGAATATATTGATTTTACAATGATGTATATTTTTTTTTTTTTATAGATGATAAATAATTAGAAAAATACTTCAATCAATAACTTTTTTAAGGGTAGTTTCTGATACAAAATTGTATCGAGTTTGTAATTTTGAAAGATTAAAATTTTAATGTATTTTTTTAGTTATCAGAAAAAAACAAAATTAAGAAAAAAAAATTTAATTTTACGCAAAACTAATTTACGAAATTTTTTGATATAATTCTAAAAAAAAAATAATCAAAGATACTTGGAAATTTTCATAAAATGTTTAAATTAGCAATTTGTATACATTTAAACATTTTTAAACTATTTTGTTTTTTTTTTGAAAATACTTATAGATATAAGAAAAATTTTTTTTATATTTATATTATAAATTATTTGTTAAGTAAAAATTCTTGAAAACTTAATACAAGATTTCTCATAAGTTGCATATATGTCAATTAAAAAATATCAAAAAAATATAGCCATTATAATTTTTAATAAGCTTTAATATTAAAATGTTCAAATTTTATTATAGTAATAATTTATAAAATGTTCAATTTTTATAGTTAAGACTTAAAAATTTAATGCAAGATAGGTTGTTTAAGCAGTTGTACTAAAACCAAAAATCTTAAAAATATACGAACAAAATTTTTTTATAGACATTTGAAGGTAAAGTTTAAAATTAAATCATTTAAATAGGTGTATTATGCATTTTACTATACACAATGACATTGTCAAAATATGTAGATTAATTTTAAGCTATTACTTATTTATACTATGAACCTATTCATGCTGTTTTATGATAAGATTATATGATATAATATTTATTAATTAATTAAAATTAATATTAAAAAAATTACTTAGCCTCACTGAGAAAAACTCGTGTAGAGGCCCAAGGTTATCTTAGTTTACAAATAATCTTTATGAATATTGGTACTTATTAACTATAAACATAATAAATAATTTCAAATTAAAGTTACAAATAATGTTATTTAGTATATTACATATATTTAGTTTTAGTTTTGATATTCATATCAAAGCCAATGGGATTTTTTTTTTTTCCAAAGAGGGGAATTAGCATATTGTATAATATAATAAATGTAATATTTTTGGCAAAAATTTTATCAAACCACCATAATACTAACAGTAAAATAAATTACTTAAATAGCTATATCATAAAATATACTGAATAATATAGGCTAACAACTATCTCTGCTCAGAATCATTTTACGCATATAATGATTTATCATTGGATTCAAATTTTATACATTCATTATAGTAACCCTCTCAACACCTACTGTACAATAAAGTGATACCTTGCTACCCATTTTTTTTTTTTTTTTTGCTTTATTGATGACTGCTAGTATACAGTATATTTTTTTTTATTACATATAAAATACATAATATAAATATTAAATATAAGTTCTCATATTTTATGTTCCATATACATATTATAATATATAAAAAAATTGTAATTCATTTAATTGTTTTGGTACAGGTTTGTTATAGATTATAGTATCACCCAGAGTGAGTGAAAACTTTATAGCCCTGCCACTCAGGTTTGTTACTTCCCTGCCATCCATAATAATTAATATATTGTGTAAATATAAAATAGTGAGTTCATCTAACAATATAATATTTATTAAATATGTAGGTTTTTTTTTAATAATATATAAATGATAATAATAATAATTATTATTATTATAGAATCATGTTTAATAATATAATATGTATTGGTTAAAGATAGATATCAATGTTATTTCTGATCGATTTGGCACACACCTTAATTTTACGGCATTTACCTCCTCATCCATTGTTGAGATAATATACGTCCTACATTATTTTTCAGCATACAAATAGACTTTTCATCTACTTAAACTATTACGTTTTAGACCACCTAATTGATTATTGTTGCTCTCTATATGCCTAACATAAACTTCTCATAAATAATCACATTTTTTTCAATATCTAATTCATACTAGCAACATGTCCTAAAGTAAATTCTTAAGCCTAAGAACATAAAAAATATACAATACTATTTATTGGTAACATCGAATCATTAAGTCAATTATTAATTATAATAATTTTTATTTACGACAAACCCTTTGTTAACATCGCCATCACTACCATTTAAAAAAAATATTGTGACCATTTTTATAATATTTTTGGACTAGAAAAATTGAATTTTGACATTTATATCAGACACTTGTGTTAATAAATCTTTTAAATTCATATTTTAACAATATATGAAATAATAGCAAATAATATTAAAATAATGACTAACAAAAATGTACTGTGATGTTATTTTGACCTAATAGTAATGGTATATTATTTTTGTTGAAATATTAAATTATTTATTTATACCACATAACATTATATTTTATATTTATATAATGTATTTATTATTATGGATGGTGAGGAAATAACAAACTAGTACCATTATTTTCTATAAGTTATGACTTAAATTCATATCTAGTCGGTTTGATCTATATAGTTAAATCATTTTATTAATTTTTTGTTTCAGAAGATGAAAAATGATGATGGATTTTCTAGAAACACAAGTTTTTCTTCCATGAATTTTGATATTTGCAGGTATATATTCAAAAGTTACTTTTTATTTATTCATAAAATGTAATTATATATTATGTTATATAGGTAATCTTTAACTCGGTGATCTTTTTCGATAAAAGTTGTATTTCAAAATAAAGATTGCTTAATTTTTCTGTGCCTCCCAAATTATTGTTATTACTAGTTATAATAACTTGCATAAATAATTACTAAACATTAAATTATTCAGTAGTTAAGTAATGATCCTTTAAGTATGATTGGTTTATTATATTTAAGTGAACTATTAAGTTAATCAGTTTATTAAGCAACTCAATATTAATGTGGTAGTAGTATATAAATTGAAATTAATAATACTACATACTGGTAATTTTAATAATTATCATAGTTTATACTGTTACCTATCAAATAAATTTAGAGACATTCTTACAAATCGGTCAACATTTAAAATAAACTATACCTCCAATATTGCATAAAAACAAAAACTTTAAAAGTATAAATTGTTTAAGAAAAACAAAAACAATTGCATCCATGCTTAAATTTTGATCATGGTTTTTTTTAGAATATGTCATTGTGAAGGCGACATTGACACACCTTTAATAGCACCATGTTATTGTGCTGGTTCGTTACGATTCGTGCACCAATTGTGTTTACAACAATGGATTAAATCATCAAATATAAGATGCTGTGAACTTTGCAAATTTCAATTTATTATGCAAACCAGAACCAAACCTTTTAGTCAAGTAAATTTGTTTTATCTTAATTTATTTAATTGAATTATGGTTATACATATCTTAAATTTTTATTTTTAGTGGGAGCATTTAGAAATGTCTGGCATGGAGCGTAAAAAGTTGGTGTGTGCAATGCTGTTTCATATAATTGCCATGACGTGTGTTTGTTGGTCACTCTATGTCCTTATGGATCGGACATTAGAGGAAGTTGAACGTGGACAGTTGGACTGGCCATTTTGGACAAAACTTATAGTTGTGGGCATTGGCTTTACAGGTGGTGTTGTTTTCATGTACATACAGTGCAAGTCATATTTTATGCTTTGCCAAAGATGGAAAGCATATAATAGGTAATTTATTAATAAAAATATTTGTATTTTAAATATATATTTCCAAATGTATTTATCATTAAATTCTATTTAAGGGTAATATATGTACAAAATGCTCCAGAAAAACCACGTAAAAATCAAACTATACTTATTGATGTTGCTGAGAGTAGTTCAGTTGAAACTAATGCAGTTGCATCAATTGTGCCTTTTAAACCACCTATTGAACAAAACGATGAAACCAGTATTGATCTCAAAGGTGTACGTAATGTTCATATATTTTTCAATAATGAAGATAATCCCATAAGATTTCAAGAGGTTGACAATCGAGAACAAGAAGATGTTGAAAAACCAATTTCAAGTGATACTGGAACCTCATGGCATATACAGATAGGAAAAACTCAAGGAGAAAATCCTGAAGGTGAATGTAATCAAGCAGCTGTATGTCAAAGCAATCAGTCAGATCCATCTTTTTTAAAATTGCAAATTAAAACGGCAGAAATAGTAATCAAATTTGGACAAAATGAAACCGTACCTAACGAAAACGAGTTTGACAACAAAAATGTTAACATTCAAATTGAAGAATCAAAATCTAAAAATGACGTGCCTGATACTACAAATCCAGTTCAAATACGATTGGATTTTGGAAGAGATAAAAACTATGAAGACATTGATGAAACCCATGGGTCTCCTTCTCAATCGCCATTATTATCATCTAGAAGACTCTCTAACTATAGAGATGATAAATAACAACTCTATACACTTATTATAAGCTAATCTGTGATTTAACAGAAAATAAAACATCATAGAATTTATTTTCTTCCCACTTAGTTTAATACAATTTTTTTTTTTTTTTTGGAGCATTTATTTCAAATAATCATAGTTTTTTAACACTGACAAAAAATATAATTTCTTCTTTTTATAAACCTATTTTGTGTTAATATTTAAGTTTTTATGGATTTATTATGTTTAGAAGCTCAATAAATTAAGTGTGATTATTATTAGGATATATTATTTTTTATTCACATTATTATTAATGAATACTTTTTGATGATGAATGATGATGATAATTAAATTTTTGACCCGGCAAAGACTGAGTTACAAATATGTGATGTTGATAAATTTCAAACTTTTTTTGTATTTCATTTTTGAACCAACATTATGTACTAATGTCTCATCAATATCACAAATGATATACGTGAAAAAAAATTAAATGTTTTTCAAGTTATTTTTTTTTTTTTTTTAATTTTTAACATAAAATAATTCTATTTTAATTTTTTTTTATATATATATATATATATATATAATTATTATTGATTAATAAGTGTATGATCATAGGCGTAGGGTGGTAAGATTTTTTTGGGGAGGCTGTAGCCTTCCTAGGGGTAGACATGTACCATCTCGTGAAAAGCTTTTTCTGAATTTAGGAAGGGGGCTAAGCCCCTTTTAATTACACCTATATGTATGATACTAATTAATGTGATTTGTCATACAGAAAACATTTAAATATGTAATGTCACTTAACATAGAATTATTGCTTATTGTAGATTTATGTGAAAGATTGAATGAAATATATATAAATATTATATTAGTTATTAATAATTACATATATTGTTCATATTTGATTTTGTTTCTGATAAACATAAGGTATACAGTAAAATAAAATTTTATGTTTTATGTTAAATACACTTTAATGTTTTTCTCTTTAAACAATGATATTAATAAAAATATATAGTCTATATTATTTACAAATAAACTATTATTTTTTCATCATAATTGATCAAACCTAGTATAGGCGTGATTGCATTTTACATATAGATATTAGATGTTTATTGCTTAGACAAGATAAAATAAAAAATAATGATTTTTATTATAGCCGATGTGACTGCTAATAATTCAGACAACCGTATCATATTTCCTACTTGCAAAGTATGATATGCTATTTGTTTTTGGTAGAATATGTATTAAAATTATGTATGTCATCTGCTTATAGAAACATCAAAGTTAATCCTGGAGATGTAATAGATATTTCAAAATTCCTAAAGACGAGAAAATTGTATCTAGTTATTGAAACTATTTAAGAAATGGTAATTTCATGTTGGTAATATACTAATAAGTAATAACTCAGAAACATACTAATCTGTATTTTATAAATCACTATATTTTAAAAGGACATATCAGCCATCAGCACATTTATTTACTCTCTCTGGTTCACGTGTAACATAGACAATATTATGCAATAATACAAAATTATTTTTCTTAATTTATTTTATTAATCTAAGTAATCACTCTACTAAAACTATAGATAAAAATATTTTTGGATATTAGAGTTCTAAGTATTTTTCTGCCTCATAAGAATTATGACAGACACTCATGAAGAAAAAAAACATCTTAGAATCAATACGTTCATTGCTCCACTCGGAATGTAATTTGTTAGGTTTATTATATAAAATATGTTGATGAATAACATGGATGAATTTTAGCAAATAATTACTTTATTGCTTAAAATTTTTAAAACATAATACACAAATATTTTTATTTTATAAATGTATAAATATTAAATGATATAATACTATCATGATAAATAGTAATATTAATGAATAACAATAAAATAAAAATAATGTATATTATTTTAATTTGAAATTCAGCCATTCAAATGTGTTTTAAACAAGTATTAAAATCTTTCTGGAATTTTTTCAATAATCTGAATAACTTGACCTAGACAAGACCTTTAATCGTGTCTGTGGCCTAGGTAGAGTAATACTATATTACTCTATGGTCTGTGGTCCTAACAGCGTGATGCAAATACAGTGTAAATTCTTAATGATCGTGGTCCATTCTAATATCACCGTAGAACAGTAAGTGATATCACGAATTAAATTTATTCTGTGATAATGATTTGGCGACTGCGCTGATTAAACGAACGATATTATTATATAGAATAGCTATTATACAATTACCTATAAATATTATTTTTGATTTTGATAAAAAATCAAGTGTCAATAGTGTCATCATTTTTAAACATGTCGAAGTGAGTGTCCGGTGTTCGTCTCTTTATTCTAAATAGTTTCTCGAACCACGCAACATCCAAAGGCATGGCGATTGTTTTTGGCCTGCCGAAATTGTGTAGCCGACACGTTACACTCTGCTTGCTGAATAACCATTACAAGGTGAGTCCCGAGTAAAGTCTACCGATTCTCCGTACTTACCAATGGGTCGCACGGCCCGCCGCCGCTGTAAACCCACGTCTGACCGCCCTTCCACCGGCTATCAGTTCGAAGTCGTCTCGTTGACTACGTGGATGAAGTCTCACGGATGGAAGCCTACTTGCCGGTTAGCGCCTGCCTGTTTTGCCGATACCGGACGAGGGCTTATGGCGGCCCAAAATATCGACGCAGGACAACCACTAGCCATTGTACCTGGTCGTCTGGTGATCACTGTCGACTCTGTGTCTGTGTCGCCGTTTGGCAAACATTTCACCACTGTATACAAGACACAACAAGTGTTAGCCACGTACTTGATGTTTGAACGACACAAAGGATCTGAATCATTTTGGCATAACTATATTGTCTCGTTGCCTACAATCCTGTCAAATTCAGCGTACTGCCCTGCTGAACATTTGCCCAAAGACCTATCGAATAAAGTACTAGACCATCAAAACATTATATTGACAACTTTCAATCAAATCATGTATGAAATGTCTTCTATTGTTTGTCCACACTGTTTAGACACTTGCAAAAATATATTTACATTTGAAGTCTATAAATGGGCATGGTCAATCGTTAATACTAGAGCTGTTTATATGAGTCCAGACTGTAGCTTAAAGAATAAAATAAAATTGTCAGATGTCAACAATCTAGCACTCGCACCATATATTGATATGTTTAACCATTCTCCTTTGGCTTGTGTTCGGGCTACAGTTAATCATTTAAATGGTGCATATACTATCATAACAGAAAAATTATTTAAAAAACATTCTGAAGTGTTTATTAATTACGGACCACATTCCAACACTAAATTATTTTTAGAATATGGGTTCATTGTTCCATCAAATCCACAAGATTCTGTTCATTTGTCAGCTAATGAAATTATTTCAATAACGGGCAAAGGTTTAAATAAAAATCGAATGGAAAAACTTAAAACTTATGATTTATTAGAAGGTCATTATTGTACATCTGAAGGCTTGTCTTGGTCAACAAGAGTTTTAACATACCTATTAATTTATTCTGATCGATTTAATGATGAAGAATTAAAAAACCGAGTGTTTGCAAATTTATTTGATCAAAGTGAGGTTGAAGCTGTATCTAAAATTGGAGCTATTATCATTAAAACAAAGCTAGAAGAGATAAAACATTGGGAATCAAATATGTTGACCATATTAGAAAACAATCAGGCTGAGAAGTCGACTGGTTTTGTGGTTGCTACAGAGCTGGTAAAGGAGAATCGGAGATTACTTGAAAAATGTTTACAATCATTAAATGTTAAATAATAATCTATTAAACATAATCTGTTGGAAATAAATATATGTTAAGGTAAATTGTTGATTTTTTTTTATAGTTTGTTTTTTGGTCTATTTCAGAGATGGCAAAATGTTATGCATAACTGTTCAAAAAAAAGTTCATTCATAAGAATTTTTTAGATTTTACAAAAAAAAAAATCATCAAATTAAATAACACACAGAAAAAATAAAATCTAACCAAAACTTTTTATTTAATACACAGATATGGAAAGGTTCACCATCCTTAGACTATTGAACGAATAATATTAAAATGTTCATTAAATAAAATAAAATTAATCCTATAAATATAATATGAGTACCTAAAATGTACATATTTCAATATCTACCTATTTAAAGTCAAAAGTTAAATATTGACTATTCTTTTTACATTGAACAGACATAAATTGAGAATTATTATATTGTATGAATTTCGTAATACTTTTATTTTCGTTTTTACAAAGTTTAATTTTGATTTAAATACCTTAGTTAAATAATTTGTATAAAATCATATTAGTTACTAAATTGTACTTACAGGCTATAATAGCTAAAGATAAATTAAATGTGTATTTGTATGTAATAATTTATTGAATCTGGTGGTTAATTATTATTTCCTTTATTAATTATATTTCTTTAAAACATAATTAGATATACACACATCTTAAAAATAATAAATTTAAATAAAATAAAATTGATATAGGTAAAAATATAAATGAGTTTAATAGGGATATTATTAAATACAGTTTTATTTCTTATCATAACAGTATAATTTACATAATATTTAAAATATTTAATTAAAATCAGAATTTTTTTTTTCGATTAACAATTTGTACAATTCTACTAATAATATTTATAATATAGTAATATATAACATTTGTAAATAATGTATTATAAATGTAGACAACATAGATAAATTGAATTTATTTTATTTAGGTAACTTAGTAATATTTAATAATGTGCATAAATAATAAATAACATTTATATTCAAACAAAGCATATACCTATATGCAACAAATTATTATATAGAGTATTATTTTACTATAATTACTATAAATGATGAACCAATAAATATTTATGTGTATAAAACCAAATGTTTTTTTTAAAAATTATAGTTAAAAAGTGTACTAATTGATAGACAATCAATTCAATATTATAAAAAAAAATGTTTGCAAGATGTAATACATTTTCCAAATTATTTAAAAGTATTATATTGTAATAATTTTTTCAGGCTATTTCTACTTATACTGTACATCATAACAATGTCCTCTGCAATCGCCATAAAAAGATGCGAATTCCAAACAGACTAGAAACACTTCCAACATGTTATCATATTGGTGGGGCTCATGTTAAAGAGAATTTGCCCGTAATAGAACCCAATACTATTACAGGCAAAGATATGATCTTGGGTATGTTGCAGTACATTTGGCCAAAGGTTGGTTTTCATGTTAATTAGTAGTTTATTAAAATATATCTGTAAAATATTAAATAAATGTATAGGATGACAAGACTATTCGTAAACGAGTAACGTTGTCACTCGGATTATTGGCTGCCGCCAAAATGTTAAACGTATCTGTCCCATTCATACTTAAATATGCAATAGATGATCTCAATGAAAAACTTGGTACTAATGGGGATGCATTGTTAACTATGGATTCAGCACCTGAAACTGTATTAACTGTTGCAGCGACATTATTGATATCGTGTGAGTATGAGTAAGTTTCAAGTAGGTTATAAGTATGACTTGATATCTTAAATATATATTATAATTGGCATAATTGTGAGAGAACATTTTTCTCCGTTAAGAATTTTTGGAAAGGGTATCAATTTAGACATACTAACAATAGAAATCTTTAAAACTTTTAAAATATAGAAAGAATACAATACACTTGTAGAATAAACATATGTTTTCCTCAAATTATTGTACCAGGTTCATTTATTTTATGTTTTTCCTGTTGTATATATTATTGTCAGCATTATCACATTATTTGAATTTCAAAAAAAACCCAATAATATTATTTCATGAATTATCATTACATACAGGATTATCTTCACATTTTTTTCAAACAAGTTATAGCATCTCTATTAATGAACTCTTATGTAATTAATATTATTTATCAATATGGGTATCTATAATTTATTTTTGTGCCATAAGCAATACCATATTTTAAGACTTGTGTAAGAATAAGAACTATTTTTTTAAGTTTTGATTTTGTTAAATGAATAATTTTGTCCCTACTCCCTCTTCCCAATTTTTTATCTAATTATATACCACTGGATATTATAGGTACTAAATAGATTTTAAAGTCTGCAAATTTATTTAATATTTCTAAATGGTTTATTGAAAAAAAAAAAACTATGAAATAAATATTTAAAATTTTATTTTACAGAAATTAATTATTTTATTTGTTAACCCATCAAATTAACACCTTGTTTCTTGACTCTTGTTATTATTTATTTGTAAGTAAAACACAAATTAATATGCACTAAAAATCATTAAAATATTTTATATTACACGCAGTCAAAACTAAAAACAATGGCAATAAATAATATTTATAAATTCTTAATTTTAGTAGATACCAAATAGTTTAAGTATTCATCTTTATATACAATAAAACCAAAGAACCCATTTTATTATTTATAGATTTTTATTAGAAACTATTTATAAACGAATAAAATAGGATTTTTTAATATTTAATGACTAATATTTATTTGTTTATAAAAATATAATTATTTACCCTAGTATAAAAAAAAATAAAATATAATTCATTTTATTTCATCAATTGCAAATAAATTATAGCTAGTGAATGTCTGCAGTGTATTCTGTATACAAAAATGCTAATAATTTAATTTTTCTTGAATATTTAACAACATATAAATATCATTTTTTTAATGATTTTTAATTAGTATCATTTGTAATCCTGTAAAAATTATTATTTTTATAAACAAAAATCTAAAAATATGAATAAGAAAAAAATCTCATCTTTTAAAAAACATACTTTTCTCATAAATAAACTATTAAAATATTTTTAAATTGATTCCAATTTTAATAGTTACATTTGCAAATAATCTTTGTAAGTTAAATCAATATAATATTTAACTTTAAAACATAACTATTGCCTTACAATAATAATATTAAATTCAATAAATAAAAAACAATTCTAATGATCTGTTAACTTTTTAGATGGTGTTTGTAGAACTGCTGCTTCTGGTATGAATGAACTACGAAATGCTGTATTTGCTAGTGTGGCACAACAATCCATAAGAAAAATTGCCAGAAATGTTTTCTTACATCTTCACAATTTAGATCTTCGTTTTCATTTGTCTAGACAAACTGGTGCATTATCCAAGGTATGGTTTTATACTGCTATTAGTATTTGATAAAAAAAAGACTTAATAATAACAATTTTTAAAGGATTACATTTTTTTTATAGTCGATTATGTTAAAATTTAAAAATAAAAATATCTTGTGTAGTATTTAATGGTATTTTTTAGTATTATTGTTTATTTTCATTTTAAATGTTTAGTTTTGTCTTAGAAAATTAATGGAGTTGGATGTAGTATATTTTAAAGTGTAATATGCATGAAATTCGTTACTGATTTACAAATTTTGGTTTGGTTATGGCTTATACCATTATTTATGAAATCTATAAAAATATTTTTCTAATATTTAGTGTTAGTAACTATATCAATTCAATTTTATTAATTTCTTATAACTTGTTTTGAATAATTTATTTATTATTTTTTAGGTTATTGATCGTGGAAGCAGGGGAATAAATTTTGTACTTACTGCTATGGTATTTAATATTGTACCTACTATATTTGAATTGGCATTAGTTAGCACTATTTTGGTATGTTTATATAATTATAAATTTAACGAATTTGTTATAGTCTTTATTATATTTTTAGGGACTAAATTGTGGTTATAAATTTGCTGCTTTATCCTTTGGTTGTGTATCCATTTATACAGCTTATACATTATTAGTAACCCAATGGAGAACAAAATTCCGAATTTTTATGAATCAAGCCGAAAATGAAGCTGGAAATAAAGCTATGGACTCATTAATAAATTATGAAACTGTTAAGGTATAAGTTGAATGATTAAATCATTAATTATTTTAACTCATTAAAAAAAATTATTAATTAGTTTCAAATAATAATTTGCGCTAAGTTGTTGCATCTAATACTTAATCATAGATTTTATTTTGGTAGCTAATTTTTGGTCATCAATTCCAAACATTCTTAATTTAATTCTTTTTCTGATATTGTATGGTATTTAATGATCTTCTAAAAGAGCAATAGTGACAATTTGTGGATTCCCTAGTGGCATTCCTATCTGCTCATTTGAACTTTAAACACATATTAATTTAAAAATAATTAACTACTCATTCAAAATTTAGTATTCATATTACATAATCATTCTACATCTAAAATCTAAGTTTAAATTTTATGTAAGCAATCAAAGAGGTAAAAATTAAAAAATAAGTGTCCATAATGAAAAATAATATAAATATAATAATAAAATATACATTTTTTAAGTAGTGTAATTGTTATTTTTAATTACTTTAAATCTGTTAAAAAATATTAATTGTTTTCAAAATAATGGATCTTGAATTTAGATAAAGATTTTACATTCATTGAAAGTAACTTAAATGGAACTAGATATACTAAAAATTGATTCATAATGTATTTAGATTAAAAGAATAATAATTAAATTTTATAAAGTAATTACTAACAATTATAAAATTATAAATAATTATTTTGCTTTTAACATAGATATGTTTTTGGGATGAATACAACTTTTTTTTTTTTACTTATTATTCGTAACACTATATTTTTAAATCTGTTAATATAGTGAATGAATACACATCATTCTTGGTGGTGATCTAAACATAAATTTAAAATTTAACTGTGATCATGAATAATTTATAACTAAAAGGCATATCTATGATTCTTTATTTTTTTTTTACCGAGGAATATTATTTAGTAACATGCTACTACTATAATTACTTTTTTTATGTAATATTTTACATTTAAAGTCATATTATCAAAAAATTGTATTAAAAACATATTTTTATGACTGATTTTTGTATAAATAAATTGTCTAAGAATATTTTTTGTTTAAAGGAAATTGTAAACTGTCTTGGTATAATTACATAATCATATTTAATTCACTTTTATTTCTTTTTAGTATTTTTATTAATTTTTTTAAATTTGTCTATAAATATTAATAAAAGTTTTAGGTTATTTTCTTTGTATTTTACTCATTTTATACTTCATATGTCTGAATTTCAAAACTACATTACCTAATATTTTAAAATGTAAGTGAAATTAATTTCATTATTAATTTTCTACAAAATATTATTTATACATTTATAACTAAAAATAATATTTCATAAATGATAAACAGACATTATTGCATTAGTATATTAACAAAAAATTTTATTTTTTATTTATATATAATAAATAAGATGTTTCTAAATTAATTTCTATCTATATCTATAAATAAGTTTTACACTAAAAACTAATAATCAAGAGTTATACAGTATACTTTAGATTCAGTTTATCATTTATTTGTACATTGTTTATTTGTCAAGAGATAAATAATTTAAATGGAATAATTCCAATTTAATATGAATCTATTAGTAGATAGTTACTTAATTGACATAGTATTACTTGAGAAATCGAATAATATTTTAATTTTATGTAAAATTGTAATTGTATCCTAATGTTTCACATTTTACCCTTTTTAATTAGTTAAGCTTTAAAAACATTCAAATATTTCTTTTTCTCAATTATAGTATTTCAATAATGAACTGTATGAAGCTAACAGATATGATCGTGTCTTACAAAAATTTGAGCTGGCTTCACTTAAGACTAGTTCAAGTTTAGCCCTTTTAAATTTTGGTCAAAATGCCATTTTCAGCGTAACAATGAGCGCAGCCATGATATTAGCTGCAAAACAAATAGTCGAAGGTAAAATAAATGAATTAGATTTTTTTTAACTGGTTTTATGTTGTATATATAATTTAAAAATAATAATAGCTCAAATCAACTTTAGGTAACATGACAATTGGTGATCTGGCAATGGTGAATGGTCTCCTTTTCCAGCTGGCTATGCCACTGGGGTTCCTAGGATCTGTTTACCGTGAAGTGCGACAAGCATTGCTCGACATGCAGTCCATGTTTGCGATTATGGCATGCGACCCGTCTGTTAAGGTATTTACTACACAATGCAATTTTTAATCAATATAAACACTTATTAAATTGATCCAAATTTTAAATATTTTTAACACTTAATTTTTAAAAAATTAATCACATTTTTATAGTTTCCTATGTTTTTAATTTTATAAGCTAATGCATATTACTATTTTCCAAATATTCTGTTCAAGTTAAGAAACATAATTGGCTGCAGTCAGACAACGCCCGTTTGTTTATTCCTATTTCCTACCAAGTTTACATCTGTAATCTTACCATGTATAGTGACCATGCTCTTGCGCAGTGGTCGGCCGCCAACTACGTTTCTTAACTTGAACAGAGTATAAATAATTGCTTTATTAATAAGCATTTAACATTTAGAATAGTTTTTTATTTTGTAAATACAATGGTAAATCTGTTGTTACTTCAGTCCTCTTATTAAAACTCAGTATTTAGATACAGTCATACAGATATATAAACATATTTTTTTTAAGTATCTAAGTAAAGATACAGGTATCTTAAGAGTTGTTAATAATAACTAAATATAAAAAAGATAACGAATAACATCTATCAATATAATCAATAATAAATTGAACTGATATATTATGGTATTAAATATTAATTGAATTTTATTAAAATATTTAAACTTTAAAAGTATCTAGATCCTTTGTTATACTTGTGTTTTATAATTTATTTTTATCAATCCTAACTAGAACCGAACTAATGCTGTCCCCTTGTCAATCAGTAAAGAAAATGCATCCATCGAATTCCGAAATGTCAACTTTGGATATCAAGACGGCAAACCTATTTTGAATGACTTGTCCTTTATCGTTCCACCTGGCAAGAAAGTTGCAATCATTGGAGGTTCCGGTAGTGGGTGAGCATATTAGACGAATATCATCAGAAGTGTTATCTATGCATTGGTAACATGGGTGTTCTCATAAAATATACTGACACTATTTTTCTAAATTTTACTAAAGTATAAAAGCAAAACTTAGTTTTCAGTATTTATCTATGTATAAATGTATATTTTTTTAGTTCATAGTTTTTTTAATCATAATTTTTTTATTTAATATGTCGATAGAAATTTTGTCATATTAAAAACATTATTTTGGAGTTAAATAACTAAACATTTAAGTTTTTGACTATGGAAAAATGTTACTTAGAAGTTAGAACCTTTGAATAAAATGTTTACAAAATATTTTATTATTATCAAATGCAACAATTTTCAAGTCCTTAATAATAATAACAATATTTTATCTATATTAATAATTATATATATTACAACCAGACCTGTGAATTTTAATGTACTATATTATATACTGTTAATAATAAACATTAAATGGTGTCAATACATGGACATTTCAGGAAATCAACAATAATCAGATTGCTGTTCAGGTTTTTCGAACCGACGTCGGGCGAGATACTCATTGGAGGCAAGAACATCAAGGATGTTGATATTGATAGTCTTCGGAAGTGCATGGCTGTAGTTCCTCAGGTATAGTTAATTATTACAATAAAAAACATCTTACACGTCGTAAGGTATTGATCAGTAATATCGTTTTAAGTAAGCCTATTCTTGTAGATAATTTTTATTTTTATGTTGCAGTATCTCTGCAATGAACATCTTACATTTACTTATGTGTATCAGAGAGAATGTGTTTAGAAATTGTTTAGATTATCTCCGGGGTGAAAAATAATAATAATATTATTTTGTTTTATTCGTCTTTGTAGGATTCGGTTTTATTTCACGACACGATCATGTACAACCTCCACTACGGCGACATGAGTAAGTCCGAGTCCGAAGTCGTCGAGGCGGCCAAGCTCGCGGAACTTCACAACTCTGTGTCGAAGCTTCCCGATGGATATTTGACCCAAGTGGGTGAACGAGGCTTAATGATATCTGGCGGTGAAAAGCAACGGGTGTCTATTGCCAGAGCAATACTCAAAGACAGTCCTATTCTGATATTTGACGAAGCGACGTCGTCTTTAGACTCGATAACCGAACAGGTATATGTATAATATTATTATAACAACGCGTCTCATGCGGAATATTGGTTTCTTATACAATTATTATTAAAATCATATCGTTATGTCGGACATGTTTACCTTAAACAATTTAACTAGAGATTTATTTTACTCTTGATCTTCTATTCCATTCCACCAAATACTCGGACAAAGCGAAACGTCATGAATACCCAAATTTAATATTGTTAACGAGATTCGATAAAGTATATGACAAACATATCAACTACTTTTATATGTATTCATATAAATATAATATAATTAAATAATTTATTGTACGAACTACTTTTACAGTTGTAATAGTTTTGCATATTTCAGAAACTAGTTAAAGACCATACCGTACGATACTAAAGTTATGTATATTTTTAAGCCACTAATTAAATAAAATAATTATACTTTTAGTAGATAACATAAATTTAAAAAAAAAAATAATAAAATAAACATTCCCTGTTGTGTATCTACATGAATCATAATTAAATGACCTTGCGCATTATGCTATAGTGCTATACATATAATACTAATTCTCAGAATAGTATTTTTGTTCGCAGGCATATAGAGTAAACTCTAAACGCATAATTTTATTTAAATAATATATATTTATATAATATGCTCTATGTCTACATTCGTACGACAACCGTCAACCAGATGTAGTTACGACTTTACGATCCAAGTCGGCTGCAGTAGGATGCGTTAGTATAATATATTAATAATGTTATAGTTATAAATATGTAAAAAATAAAATAAAAATTACTTGTTTTGCGGAGTGCAGTAAATTTACATAAAAACGATTTATAATATAGTCATAAAAAACATACTTCAACTTGTTTATATGTAGGTGCAGCCAAATAAATAATAAAAAATATAATAAAGATATTATGTGCATGCAGGCGCCAAAGGCATCGTTTATTTTACAATTATTTCACGGCCTGTATCGATCTTAAAATCGAATAGAAAATCCACAGGAAATCATCACATTATCAACACATTTATATTAAGAATCGGGATAATGGCACTAATCTCTGAATATTGAGGTCTGTGTTAATAAACCTGTATATTTTACATAGTAACATGTTCTTATAACCAGTGGTGGCTCTAGATTTTGCAGTAACTGGTACCAAATAATTTCGCTAGTCCTTGTTTCAACGAGTAATTATTAAATAAAATAATACAAGTATAAAAGTTATAATATGTTATACCCCATGCCCATACATAAAATAATAAAATAATATTTTCGGCCGCAGGTAGATCGCCCAGCTGGGTATCGATTTACAGCACGCGATGACACGCAATTACTATTTTTATTTTTTTACATAAAAAAAAACACCGGGCAAGTGAAGAGACAAAGTATTACACTGGACGTAATGACAGATAACTAGACATTCAAACATTGCAATCGACTTTATCCTTTTTTTTTCACAAACAAAAAAGTGCTGGTCAAGAAATTTTTCCAGCAAATACCGATTTCTAAACATCAAAACACCACTCCCGACTTACTCCTCGAACGAGTGTCCGGTAATACGATTTTAACTTGACCTACTCCAAAGTGCCAAAAGCAGTTTGCAAAGTTGCAAACATCGGTATCGAGTTACACCAGTTGGCAGTTACACTAACTTCTAGTTGTAATAATAAAATAATAATAATTTTATTTAAAATGTATTAGTTTAGAGTAAATTGATCATTTGGATTTAATTGAAGAAAATTTGATGGTATATTGTATCAGTTTCCTAGGTATAGTTTCAAACTTAATAAAATTAAATGGCTTAATTTGAATTTTTCTCTGTGTTCATGTATTGTTTTAATTGCTCTAAAATATATATTTAATTTTTAACGTAGTGATATACGTGGTTGACTTACTGAAGAGTAATTTTAAGCCATAAAAAATCCACTAGTCTGTTTTGTGTGTTTAATTCTTATTCAATTTATTTCGTTTGAGATAATACTTGGTTTTCAAGATTCCAAGATTTTTCTTTTAATTGTTTTATTTGTTTGACTACTTCATAATATGTTTTGCCAGAGAAATAGTGTTTTGTTTGAATTGTTTTTTTACGTTGAAATATCAATGAATAATATTTCGAGTGATAATACAGACAATATAGCTATAGCCTATAGAGCTTGTTTGATTTGTTGATCTGTAATTTGCAATATATCCAAATTCAAAATATGTTTTTTATTTTTTTTCGCTCCCTCCAGTTTATTTTGAACTTGTGTTAATTATATCATAAGGATTACATTTTTATTTAAACTCATACGTAAGCAGAGCGAGTTATTTAAATTAATAGATTTTATGAATACCTTATTTGTTTATAGATTTAATAGCCAGTAATATAGCAGTTGCTTTAACTGATTTTACATGTTTGTAAATTTGTATAAGTTTATAACTTATCAATTTGGTATTATCTATTATAAGTAGTCGGTAGATATTAATAAACATCTATTACTCAGTTAGTATAATTAATAGTTATATTTTACAAGAACATATTATGTTTATAATAACGTTAAAAATATTTATTGCTTAGTGTTTCATTATAATTAGTAAAAAATAGTCATGTCAAATTCTTTAAAAAAAAATTAATGATAAAAACCAAATATAATAAAATAAATTTTATAAAATCTTAAAACTAGTTATTTTTATTATTATAGTAATATTACCTATCGGTCAGCCGGGCAGGAGTTATGGTTTTCTCTGTTTTTTTATTTTTAGTTCTATCTCGTTAATATTAATATAGTAATCGATTATAGTTTATATTATATCTTGTCGTTTATTTTATAATTTCTTATTTATAGAACATACTTAAGGCGTTGCGACGAGCCACCAAGGACAAGACTAGTGTGTGCATTGCCCATCGACTGTCGACCATTAAAGATGCTGACGACATATTGATATTGCGCAACGGGAAAATCGTTGAACGCGGCAGTCACCAATGGCTGATGGACAATGGTGCATCCGAGTATTCCGAGATGTGGAACATTCAACAAGACATTTTTACATCGAAGAACCCGTAAACTATAGCGACAATCTATATTATGATATATATATATATATATTATTAGTTTCGTTTTTATTCACATGGCATTTACATCGAAAGTCACGTTTCCGCGTTTGTCGTACTTACATTGAATTATGCTATTTTTGTACAAATTATTGTTATTATGTCCACGGTTAAGAGATGTCAGGCTATACCAAGTTACAATTATTATGTGTAAGCTCCAGCTAAATGTCGCAAGTGACGGCATTTTTCGATGTTAATGAAAAAATATGTAGATAGATGCCTGCAGTTATCTGTTATATAGCTCGGTAACTTATATAATATGAGAATAACATTATATAATCGTACCCGCTGTACATTATTTGTTTTCTTAATAAATTTAATTGTTTTTTTTTTCGGAACACCTTTGGTTTTATTTCAAAAAAGTTCTAGTCTGTGGTGCGGTTAGAAGGTGGGAGAAGACAGGAGAAAGTATTTATGTGAAATAATAAACTTTATGTCTATTTGCTAAAGATAAACTTACAATAAAATAGTGAAAAAAATATTGTTGGTATAAAAATTTATGGCTAATACCTATTTAGTATGAATATTGGTTTCAAATATTATGTAGAAATATTTATATTGACAAGTATTAAAGTGTATTATATTTGATATTTTGTTTATATAGGCTGCCCCATTTTTTTAAATTACTTAAAGCAAGTTGTTTACTCTGCTGCTATCAGCTTGTTTTATTTTGAATTTTAAATGAATATAAGTTCAATTGCTTATAAATAACAATGCCTACTAGCTATTATACTTGATGTTTCTCGGGTAAGAATGTATAATTTTTATATACAATTAATCAATCATAATACAATATTTAAATTAAACACAGGTTGATTGTCAAATGTCAATGATTAATTATTGCATAAGAAAAACGATTCTGCAGTACAAAAATGAATCTGTTAACCAATATTACCAAGTACCTATAAATGCTATTAAAAAGCACTAAATATGCATTTATCTGATTAAAATATAGAAAAGTACAGTAAAATCCATAATTTAAATACTTAAAAAAATTAAACGAATTTAATGTACATTTTTATTATAATGTACTTCTCTTAAAATAATTTAAATTATAGATGATATAAATACTACCTATGTTCGTAAGTTATTAAAGTAACTTTAATAAATAAATAACACTAAACACTTTTCTTCAATGAAATTCTTCTTTTTATAGTTTATAGTTAAAATAGCTAAATAAATTTATACATTGTTTTAAATAAAAGATGGAAATAATCATATAAAATACGAGTACATATAGTGAAAACTGAAATCTACCAAAAGTAATGTACATATATTTTAATTGACAAATTTTTAAATTATACCATAAATTATAATTGTTCACCGAAAATACTCAGAAAAATTATAAAAATATGCACTATTAATTTTTAAATTTTTTTTCGTATTGTCTTGAAACTAATTTCTAGTTAACTTAGCTAGCTATATATATGTATATATATCTAACATGAAACATCCCAGTTATCCCACAAAAAACATGCTGATGTATGGATGACTTGAATGGCGATGTTTGTTAGTCAACACAGATCATCAGTAATTTCATTACCCTGAGGGTAAGCTGTCATCTATATACTTTGTGAACTTATTTTTATTTGCATGCTTGTAAACTGTACACATGCATAATACGGTTAATACATTGAAGGTGTTATTAGTAATAATAATCTAATAAATGATAACATAATATAGATAGTAAACCTACAAATGTTAACTATATAGTCTATAACAGTGGTTCTCAACCTGCAGGGGTACGCGAGATGATCTCAAGGGGTGTACGTAAAAAAATTAACTAATAGCGGAATTTGTTTATTTAAAACGATTTTCGTTTCAAAAATATTCATTATATTATTATGTTATTAAAAATTAAAACTTAACCGTCAATTTATCTAATTGATATGATAGTATAGAATGTAACATAGAATTGTCTTTTTTATTTAAATATTTTAAAAGTAGTTATGTGAAAAAGTTAAAAATTTTAATGAGGGTACAATCTAGCAAAATATTAAACTTAGGGGTACCGTACAAAAAAAGGTTGAGAACCGCTGGTCTATAATATAGTTATGCAAATCTATAAATATTTAATATATATGTTGTACTTATAAATGATATACTATACATACTAAATGAAACCATTATAATGTCTGATTTAAAAAAAATCAGTTATTATTTAAAAATTCAATTAAATATGCTCTTTGATTTTCATCTAAATTGGAAACATTAGTCATGAAAAAAATACAAATTAGATATAGAAAACCTGTGAAAACTTTATCAATTATTCGGACCCCATTTCGAGTTGACCATTAAAAATAGACTTTACTATGCTTAGCTAGACCGTTATTATAAGACCGATTTGGATTTTAGCGTTCAGCTGTAGTCTGCGGGGTCGTGCTAATAAGTAATAAGTCAATCTATGTATAAACAGTGCACGTTCAAAACATCGCTACTCTGTAGCCTAGCGATTAAAAAAAAAAAACACATTTCACCGCGATATAAATATATAACTCTAGTCTCTAGGTACCTATATCCAATATCTACAATAGTTGACGAAATCCAAAGATTTGTTCACGAACAAGAAACAAAGCTTGATTACTGTGCCAATCCATTGGCCATTCAATTATTAGTCGACTCCGAGAACACCAGATGCTTAAGACGCATAATAAGCGTGCGAGGTACGACTATAAACAATACGTCTTAGTTTAAGAATTTAAATTGAGAGTAAAACTATTTCATTGAAAGTGCAATTGCATCAACGGTATATACGTAGGTTTATTATTTATAATAATTTATTAATATCTTATATTTATAGTATATCAATTATCAATTACTCATTTAATTACTATGCCTACTTAAATTGCCCATACATTTGTCACAGTTGAATTTTCGGTGTGACTAGGTATGCGACCATGTGAGTGTGGTAAATCACAATCGGCTACTTCTGTGTAATTGACTAATGACTAGTACTACCTAGTACAAATCGACCTTGATGATTCATACTTCATAAATTTGAAAATAATGAAGATTAATTTTTATGCGATAGGTACCTATATTGCGATGATCATGCATAAATATCTTTTATTTTGATCATTGAGTAGGTTGTTAAGTATTTACAAAAAAAAATACCTGCTATTTATTCAACATAATATGTGCCTTTGGCGTTTATTGCGATTTGTGCGAGTGATAGGTGTCTAAAATGGTGGTTTGAAAACATATTATCCTTTGAGGCTTTTAAATATCATTATAATTTACAGTACTGCAGTTAGAGTTAGGACGTTGATGACCTAAAAACACACAAAAATGCCCTTAAAAGTTATCTAAAATACTAATTAAGTAAGTGAAAAAACTTATTTATAAATAATAACTTTTATTAGAGATATGGGTATAATAATGGGTGTAATAGTAGAAGCATTTAAAGAATTTATAAATAAATTTCAATATTAAAAATAAATTAAAAAGTAAAATATAAATTAAAAAGTAAAATATAAATAAAAAAAAATTATATTATATATATTTGCGTAACATATTTTGTGTAACATTTGCCCTAAAATCTATAATTTGTGAAAAATGCCCCACATTGTATAAAAAGTACAAAAAATGCCCTAAAAGATGAAAAAATGACTTAAAATGTTAAAAAACAAAAAAAAAATGCAAAATAAAATTAGAATATTCTGCATCAAGGGAGCATGAAACAAATTTTTAGCAAGGATAGCATTGTACAAAATAAAAGGAAAAAAATGTAAAAGTCATCAACATCCTAACTCTAACTGCAGTATTTATAATTTACTATTATAATAATATAGGTACAAATATTTATCCTAAATGGTTAGTCATACGTCCATACGCGCCATTTTACATTTATTCTGTATTAACACGGAGTCCGGCCATATGGTATATATTACCTATTTAACAAAATTTATAACTATATTATGAATAATAATTTACAATTTACATCTTCTTCAGCTTGCTATACAACACGCGTGTAGTCTTGTTTCATCGCTTGTTCCATGCGTGTTGCTACCAGGTCGTCGGCGGTAAAGTAAAAATATATCAAATATAAAAATAATAAAATAATACAATAAGTTTTTTTTTTTTTTTTTTAAGTGGCTTTATTTTGAAAAATTACAATCTATACAGTTGTATAATAATAAGTAACAAAGAGTTTACAAACATTGTTTACAGACAATTATACATTTAAATAAGTTTTTATATACACATGAGGAAGAAATTACACATTAGTTACACCTGTAAATAGTAAATATTGTTTCTAAGTCGCGACACCAGCTTTTAAAGCGTCTGGTCGAGTTACCGAAAAGTGTGAGTGGTACCAACTCTTTGATCAATCGGTTGGAATTATGGGATTATCTTATAGTTTGTTGTGAAAGCGTTCGTAATAGAGAGCAGCATTTTCGTAAATAGAAAGTTATTATTGAGGTCTAGGTTTAAGGGTTTATTTGAGACGAACCAGAGTCTCCAGTGATTGAACGCAGTGAGATGTTTTGAAAGGCTTGTATAGTTCTTTTATTCGAGTTCTTAGCACAGCCCCAAATTACGATATCACAAGCCCAAAATTTAGGTTTTTTCTAAGTGTTAATATTATTATTATTTTTTTTTTATAAATATCGATGGAAAATTATTTGCTCGATCAAAATACTTGAAAATATAATTCAAAGTTTCTCACGAGTCATGAATGGTTTGGTTTATTTACTAATTAAAAATATCAAAAATGTATAGCAAATTTTTTTATAAACGTTTAAATTAAGATTTTCGACAAAATTCCTAAAATTTCGAAAATGTTTAGTTGATTTGAAGTCAGGAATTCATAAAAAAAAAATTCTACTGGAGTTTATCAATTTTTAAGAGCGTTTTAAGTCATATTAGTGTACGTTTATCTGTAAAACAATTAATTTTCTCTCTCTTTCTATTATGTATCAACTCATTATACACATAAATGTACATTTATAAACCTTGCTATATCTATAGTCTATGATGTAGCTAAAACGTATTACAAACGACTTAAACATCATAATGAATTAAATTCAAAAATCTCCTTATTAAAGAAACTCGCATCAACAAATATACCTGGTAACCCTAGAGAAAAAGACTAAAAAGGCGGTGGTATTGTGACCTAACACAATAGTGCTTCTAAATCATAATTATTTCCACTGTTGTCCACATTTTCTTCACTTCTCTTAAATAATAATTACTAAAATTACTTAGAAGTTCCTTCAACAGAAAGACTATATTCACTCAGTCAATCTTATCATTTTTTTTATTTTTTTTCTCCCCCTCCTCGTGTACCATTAAATTCACTGATTTTTAACAAACTATTGGTATAATAGATATAAAATATATAGAAAATATAAAAAAAAAATTTCCTTCAAACGATTTTCAATAGTTTGTTGTAATTAAAAACCATATTACCATTAATACTTGAAATTTCATCAAATGCTTATATCATA